TTCCCTCCCTGGCCTGTTGAGTCACTTCTCTCTAACCTCCTCCTCTTCATTTCCACTGAGGTTGCTTTTGAACACACTGTCATGAAAAATGGGTGTTAGATACTTCTTTTTCCCCCTTAAAAAAGGGTTCCAAACTCCTGCAGGTCAGAAGGTTCCTGAGTCCTGCTTGTTATTAACAGGGAAAATTATCTGCAAAACAATGCTACGAGGTCAAGAAGTAAAGCCTTGTGTAATTGCAGCTCTTCGCACCATTCCAGAGGTGATGTCATGTCTTCAGAGCTATCAGGAATCTTATTAGGAACAACTGAAAATGCAATACGAGCATCACCGTGTAAGGGAGCAGAAGTATTTTATCTGCACAGGTGTTAATTCCATTTTTATTGCATATGTTCATTTGGAAAGGATTAATTTAAGTACCTGTTTCCTCCCAAATGCATGTTCCTCTAAGTTTTTCTACGTGAATAATTCCACCGCTTCTTTTAGTTAACTGCAGATGTCTGTACTGCTTTCCTAATGACCTCTTGAGCGTACTGCACGCTGGAGTCCAGCTCTGCCGATTCCCGAGCCTGCAAAGCGTATTAGCGTCGACACAACTGCGTGATGCTGCACCGAGCGCGGGAGGCTTGCAGGAGTCCCCTGTAAGGCTGTTCTCTCAAGATTTCTGTAATACGTGCGCCCATCTCCTCCCATGTTGGTTGGATTCTGTATGAAATGCTAGTGGCTTTTTTTTTTCCCCCTTCTTTGATTGGCGAATCTGTGGGCTTGTTGGTTTGTTCTTTGGTTTTTGTGGTTTTTTTTTTTTTATCTTGGCTTCTTTTTTTCTGGTATCTGGACATCACAAAACCTACCAAATGGACCGTCACCAAATAGCGTGAGTATTTAGTATGTTAAATGCAGACATGATAAAGGGGAGGATGCTTTGCTGCATGGGGCTTTGGTGGGGGTGCAGAGGAAGTAGGAAACTTGTGAAGGAACAGGAGAAATGTTCTGATCTGTTCTTAACAGCAAATGCCGCTGTGGGCTTCGCTGTTAGATGGTCACTTCAGTTTCAATACGTGAACGGTGAAGCAATATTGTGGGTAGGGTCACTCCTGCGGTCACCTTGTGCCTTGCCACCCTCTCCTGCCGCGCGTAGCTTCTCACCCAGCGTTGGAGCCTGGCCACTGCAGCCGGCGTCTCGTCGCGCGAAGGAAGAGGAGTTTGGGATGCCCACCAGAATCCCCAGAGCTGCTGACGAAAGCCTGCGTGGCCGAACGGTTTGAACGCTCCCTCCCTTCTCCCTTTAAATACTTCAAAGACGGATCGCTCAGACCCCTACTTAGACGGTGTTTGACCCCGTGAGCCCCTGGTTCCTCGGTGCTTCTCCTGACGCTGCTAGAAGTCACCCTTTAAAGCACAGCTTTGTTACCAGTCCCCTGGCCTTTGTCACCCCCCTTGGTGCCTCTCCCACGCCCCGGAGGACACCAGCGCGGGGCTGCTGGAGCACAGGGCTGGCAGGACAGCACTAAGAGGGGACCAGTAGGCGGGTGTTTGAGGTGTTCTCCAGGGACAGGATGTGATTTCAGCTCTACCGTGGGTTAAACAGGATTTAAATCCAACTTTTCCTTTCCCTCAGCTTCTCCATTTCAGGCAGTTCCCTTCACCAGCCCGCCCCCCTCCTTGTCTTGCCCCTGCTGATGGGCACCACGTGCCCTTCGCGTGGTGACCCAACCCGTGCGTTCGTCTGTCCTGGCGTTACAGGTGACTGAGTTGGGGTGGAAAGCCTAGGGCTCGTGTAAACCTGGGATGTGGAGGCACTGACTTGCTTCCTGGGAGACCTTAGGGATGACTTCTTGCATCTTTATGTACCCGTTTTCTTCTGCTTTCTGCATCAAATATCACTTAAAGCAAGAACAGGGGAACGTTAGGGTTTAGTGACATCGGCAGTCTTAGCTGGCTCTCTGTGTTTGCTTTGTTTTCCAGCATGATGGAATGCAGCTAGTGCCTCGGAGCTGAGGCTCGGTGTAGTTTAAAAGGCAGGTTGAGGATGCAGCACCGAAAAAGCCAATGAACAGCTGTGCCCCACGAAGGGGCAAGGAGCCTCTCTGAAAATGGATGGGGAAGAATGTCTGTGCACACGTCTGCCTGCGTCTCTCTTGCAAACAAAGCCGTGTCCGTGCCTTGGGCTTGCATTTCAGCTTGTGGGTGGTTCGTTAGCAAGGGAAGCTGCGCTAGCGCGGTGGTTTGGGGTTTAAAACCCTTACATTGTCAGGCCCCTCTGGCGCTAATGGAGCCTGACAGTTCTGGGAAGCAGGACTTGTATTTCACGACGTGCCTGACATTCCTCTCTTGTGCAGGTCGGGAGGTGGCTGCCAGCCCCTCTCGGTTAGGGCTGGGGAATATTTCACAGCTGAAAAGGTAGAGCTGTTGGCAGGATCCTGAAACGCAGCAGCTAGCCAGCGAGGGACAGTGGTGGGGTGTTGGGACCTCTCCAGGCCAGGAGAACCCGGATCCAGGGGCAGAGAGGTTGAAAGGGGATGCTGGGGTGAGTGCAAAGGGTTGTGGTATGTGAAATGGAACTCGGATGGAGTTTAGGTACCAGAGGGTCCAACTGTGGTTGTGAGGGACCCCCTTGTGAGAATTTGTCTCGCCCACCCATGAGCTGGAGTCCTTCAGCCTCAGACCCCAAACCTTCGCTTACAAGGTCAGGTCAGTTCCCGTCTCATGGAGGCTGTCTGCCAGGGTTCCTCACCCACCACCAAGGAGGAGGCTCTGGGGTAGCAGGCTCTGCACACTCCTTCTCCCCCAAATCCTCACTCCCCACTGGTACCCTCTGGATGGAGGGAGCTGCTCTACTTCAACCAGCTCTGGTTTTGGTCCTGACGGGACATGGTCCTGCTTGGAGGCATGCAGAGGTGGAGTTGAGAGTTTTGCAAACAGCTGGCACCGGAGTGTTTGTGTGTCAGCCTCAGAAGGAAACGCTGTGTGGTTTGTCTTCTGACCTGGGAAGACACTTCTCCCACTGCTCCCATCTCGTTATCCTCACCAGCTTGGGCAAAAGCCACACCAACGTCACTATTTTTGCCTTGAAATCTGAAATTCCTGCTCACAGGTGCAACCCCGGGCATAGCACCTCCAACACAGCCGCAATGCACGCATCCCCAAGTCAGATCCGGGTTTCTCCACCCCGCTGGGCTGCTGCCCGATCTTGCTGTAGCTCCCTCTGATCTGGCTCAGCGATCCCGGGTTGCTGTGCTGCCGGGGATCCGAAGAGCAGATGGAAACTCCTTCTGCTCTCTCAGCCAGGAGGACTGAGGGACACGTTGCTTCCCCCGTAGCCTGTTTTCAGCTGACTCCTCACTGCAGTTTGCTGTATTGGATTTCTTCCTTCATGAAGCCAGAATAGTTCAGAGGCCTCGGAGACAGTCTCCTGCCTATTGGGTTACTTCCCTTGAGCACATCTTGGAACGTAAAGGGGAAAATGCCAATTACTTTTAAATGCTTCAGAATTGCAAAGCTCCAGCTATATTTCTCTGTCGGCAGAGAAAAGCCTGGCACTTGTAAGCCAGCCAGCCCCTTCCTGATTTAGGGGATGCAGCCCATTGAAAGCTGATTGAAACTGGGCTCCCAACCAGCTTTGCTTTCAAAATTAAAAAGCCTCAGTGGTTTTGGGTTTTTTTTAAATTTTAATTTTTCGAAAGCACCTTGGATCCATCCACTGATCCAACCTGACATTGCAGAAGAGGAGGGCAGGACCGTGGCTGTGTAGAGCCCAGCAGCTGCAGGGCTGCTTGGGTGTTTTCAGGGCTTTTGGGAATGCATCCTTCTCTGCCAGGAGAGTCCGAGGGGGTGGGCTACCCCCAGGACCTCGCATATCCTAGACCCTGTCTTGTCTGAATTTGCACTGTTCCCGGTCTCTGGATGCACGTGTGGAGGTGTCAGTCTAGGCCATGTGATGGACTTGGGAGCTGCCAGCCGTGGAGTGACCTTCACCTGTCAGAGAGCCCCAGCACCTCCCACGACGCCCCGGGTAGCTGCCTGCAGCGCCAACACGCCTCTTCCAGAGTGCTTCCTGCCATGTTTTGTGAAAAAATATTAAGAAATAACATTTCCGTTTTCCAGTGAGAAATTTAATTAGAAGGAATTAAAAGGTATAGTTTATAGTTTAATTTAATGTGATGAAAAAAGGATTAGCTCCCTCCCCCTCCTACCCAAATCCCAACCCGAGACGATGGCAGCCTGGCCTCCAATTGCATCCGACGGCCACAGAAGGGAGAGGCTTACCAAGAAGAAAAGGGAGAGAAATTCCACCCCAGATTTACGACTTGCCAAGCAGAGGTTGCCTGGGTTAGCCTCGTTCTGTGTTGCGCTGGGTCCCACAGACTTGACTTCGTTGTGTGCCTGGGAATGGGCTAAATACTGATTTTATTTTTTTTTTTTTTTAATGGCTGCTTCTGCAGGTCACTTGTGTCCTTGGGTGCTATTTTGGGCCACCAAGGCTCGCAAAGTGTGTCCTCAGACATGCGGGGAGCGTGCGCCTGTCCCTGCAGGTGGGGGTTTTCCCTCTCAGGTTGTTTCTCCATTTTTGG